CTCAGTCTGTCTCTTGTCCCTTCCCCCCTCTGTCCCTCCCTCTCCCCGCTGGCAGAGTCGAAACACGAAACACCCTTCCAAAGTGACCCGAACTGTATTGATAGGCGTGTAAAATGTTTGTAATCATAGCACAGCTTACTATGTGCAACTGTTTGTTTTAGTCTGTATGTTTTGATTTTTCACATGTGGTTACGACAGGCTGTTTCTGCCTTGACGAGTTCCTCATTACTTAAACTGAACTGGTTCAAGGTCAGCTCAGTCCAACGATGTGTCCTTGAGAAAAGCACTTTATACTCATTTTCCCATTTGGCGCGGTCCTTTCGGAGTTGAAAGTTAGATTCAAAGGTTCTGCCTCGTTATTACTTTTCAGTGTTTTGCGAGGGGCGTCAAAGCTAAGTTACAGTTTTGTAATTTTTTTTCAAACTTAACTAACTTTATAAGCCTTCTAAATTGTGCGTGCCGCCTCTATGGCGTAACAGTCAAACGCTTCGCTGTCGCATGCAGGAGACCTGAGTTTGATCCTCTAGTGGGGAGAGAATTTGTATCAAGTATCCCAGTCTTTCTCCTGGGATGTTGTATCCCTCTCAGCTCGGATTCTCCCTGATTGACAGGACTGGAATCCCGCCTCTTCCTGAACCATATAAATTGTATCGATGGGGCCATAAAAAAGCAATTACATTAAAAACAAATATATTTGTGTGTCTCCCTCAGATGTTCCACATGCGGCCGACGTCTGAGCAACTGGTACGTGGAGAACCAAGGCAGCCTGTACTGTCGGCGGGACTACAGGAATAAGTTTGGCCAGCTCTGTAATGGCTGCTCCAGCCTCATTTCGGGACCTGTCATGGTGAGATCAGGGTAGAGCTGGGCGAAGAATCGGGTCCGGTTCTCACGATTAATGCTACGGAAAAAAGTTCCGACTCCTTTTTACATGAACCAACGGTTTCCAGTTACTTTAACCATTTAAATCGTCTTCTTTGAAAAAAAAATATTTTTGACAAATAAAAGTTGATGCTTCGTAGTATTCCGAAATCAAGGTTATCCTAAATCCAAAAGATGTTCGGAGCCAATTAGATAACCACCGGAAGAAATCACATTATTAGATAATATGTAATTGGGTTCGGATTTAATTCTTAAGATTCCTAGCTTTCAATAATCGGGAACCTAGCCGCCCAGCACTAGATCACGGCTGTAGATCTAGTGCTGTATGCCCCTATTAGTTTATTGTAATAGTGCCCACAGACGAGTGATGAAGTGTGCTTTGTTTCATCCCCCCCCCCACGTTTTAAAGTAATTTTCTTGAGAATTTTACGGCACTAGCAACACAATTAGGTCACATAATTATGTTGAAAACTAGAGGGTGTTACAAGTGTCACAACACACACACACACACACACACACACACACACACACACACACACACACACA